CTGTAATTCCGTGCCTTTGGGAGGCTGAGGTGAGTGAATTGCCTGAGCCGGTGGGTTCAAGATCCGCCTGGGCAACTTGGTGAGACCTCATCTCTACAACAAATCAAAAATTAGCCGGGTGTGGTAGCATGCACCTATAGTTCCAGCTACTTGGAAGGCTGAGGCAGAAGGATCGCCAGAGCCCAGCAGTTGAGGCTATGGTGGCTGGGAGCCGCCACTGCACTCCAGTCTGGGCAACTGAGTGAGACTCCAACTCAAAAAAAAAAAAAAACAAAAAGCACCACACATACACATACACACACACACACACACACACACACACACACACACGAACACCTAGACTCCTTTTAGTGAAATGTGAAAAGTTTATTATATAGCTACTATGACGTCCTCTTTCTAGGAAGTCATGTAACAAAAAGGTGGTATTAGTATGAGCTTTTCCAACCAGACCACTGCAAAGGAAAAAAATATACAAAGAAATGGAACTGCAGAAGAACTTTCCTCCTTTTAGAGAACATAAGCAGCATATGGTACTTAAGAAGGTAAAAGTTGTGTCTGTTGTTTCCTTAGATGGGTGAGGGGGGGTTCTCTTATTTAAATAAAATTAAAGAAATACTGAAGAAAAAGAACAAGGGATAAGAGTTGGGATTAAGGTTAGGTGTGGTGGCTCACACCTATAATCCCAGTACTTTGAGAGACGGAGGTGAGAGGATTGCCTGAACCACGGGTTCAAGACCAGCCCGGACAACTTGGCCAGACCTCATCTCTACAATAAATAAAAAAATTAACTGGGCGTGTTGGCATGTGCCTGTAGTTCCAGTTACTTGGAAGACTGAAGCAGGAGAATCACCTGAACCCAGCAGGTTGAGGCTGCGGTGGCCATGAGCGTGCCACTGTACTCCAACCTGAGCGACAGAGTCAGACTCTGACTCAAAAAAAAAAAAAATATAAAAAAAGAATTGGGATTAAACGTGGAAGAACATAGTTGGAAACATTGTGAGGAAGATGGGACTTGAAGGGAGGAGAAATGGAGCAACAGAAATGTAACAAGGTCTTTGATAAGCCTTGAAGAGAAATGCTTTAATAGAAAGACTCTGGGTTCGGAGACTTCCCTCAATCAAAAGATCCCACTCTCATATTGTGAGGGCTGGCTTCAGGTATTGTTCAGGAGTGTAATGGCATAGGGAAGGAACAGAAGCCATGACCATGTTACTTTTTAAGAATCAGTAACACAGAATCAGCACACATCAATTTAAAACTCCCTCTTTGCTCCTCCTTGCCTCTGATCCTCCTGCAGGGTGAAAGTCCTTTCCATCATCAGGGTTCTTCAGGAATATTGCAATCATTTTGCCTGATCTGAAACAAAATAGAAAGGGATGGGGCATAGATAATAAACATTTATTGAGCACCTAATATCTTTCAGGTGTTACTCTTACATAATCTTCACAATGACCATTGAGTTATTATTATTATTATCGTACAAACAAGAAATTCAAGGCTTAGGGAAGTTAAGCAACTTTCCCAAGTTCACAAAATAGCAGCCTCCTCAAGTCTGTTTGGAGGAGTCTCACAGGAAGATCTCAGGAACCTCAACCTTGGAGAATGATGATGCAAACCCTGCTCTCTGTTGCCACTTGATTCACACTTTGTGTCTGCATTGGAGAGCATTGCAGATGCTTTTGTTCAAGTTCATCACAAGCATATTTAGTTCCCTGACTCTTTTAAGAAATGTTCCTTACTTAGTAAATCACACTTTAGAAATAAGCACAGTCTGACGATAGGTGTTGCAGTGACAGAGGCATAGACTCCTCATAGCCTTGCTCTGATTGCTTCCAGAGCTTTGCTGCTGACCCGACTGTGCTCTGATTCCCTTCAGAACAAGGTCAGAGGTCTCCAGGGAACAATGAAATCCTAAAGAAGAACAGCTCACTTAACAGTCACATGTGTCCTATCCCGTCCTGATGAATCCCTAATTAGACACATTCCAGGAATGTGTCTCAGCCTCCAGTAATGACATGCAGACTCCATCTGTGGAAGAAAATCAATGTTTTACAATGAAGCACCTGACATCCACTCTCCTAGGAAGCTCTGCCCCTTATGGAATATTCATGCAGCCCTTCTTTGTAATCTTGGTCTGAGTTTCAAAAGATTCCCTAGCAAAGAAGACCATTTAACAGATAGACCATTTCGCAATACAAATACAGGAAATTCAGCAGGAGAAAAGAGACACTAGTTTCTGAAACCTGTACTCTGTCCATGAAACCACCTATATAAAATTAATATCAGGCCATGGAGTGAAAGTTGTAGAAGATACTTGAGCCCTGAAAAGCTGCAGCTATGGTTAGACTCTAACAAATCTGTTGTTTATAAGTTTGCTTTTACTACCAAAGAGGGGAATTGATTATCATATTCTGACTCCTAGAAATGGAGAAGTTGCTTCACATGACTGATCAGCATATTTTCACTTAAACAATGGACCTGAGATTCCATAGAACTTCTTGATACCATCACTGAGATTGAAGGACAAAAGAACAGAAGCAGTTCTAATTTTCAGGAATCTCCATCTCTGGTACACCTTCCTCCTAAACTACTTCTGTAATGACTCACTGCCCAAGGGCCAGTAGCTGATGGTCACAGAACTTGCCTTATAAACAGTGCCTATGGCAAAACCTAAGAATGATGCTTGAGATATTTTTCAAACATTGTTCTCTAATGAGCTTGAGGCCCCACCTGGGCTCAGAACAAATACCAGTAAGCTGATTTCACTGGTTCTGCAATGTGCCCTCCCAGAAATTGTCTCTGTGACATGAAGACAGTTTCGACACCCCTTATGACATCATCAACCAATCAGCAGTCCCTAACTCCCTGCCTACCAAATTTTCTTTAAAAACAACTCTCCGGCTGGGTGCGGTGTCTCAAGCCTGTGATCCCAGCACTTTGGGAGGCCGAGGTGAGAGGATTGCCTGAGCCCATGGGTTTGACACCAGCCTGGGCAACTTGGTGAGACCTCATCTCTACAATAAAAAAAATTAGCTGGGTGTGGTGGCACGTGCCTGTAGTTCCAGCTACTTGGAAGACTGAGGTGGAAGGATCTCCTGAGACCAGCAGGCCGAGGCTACGGTGGTCATAAGCACTCTAGCCTGGGTCACAGAGTGAGACTCCAACTCAAAAAAATTTTAAAAAGTCTCTTGGTCAGGCACCATGACTCATGCCTGTAATTTCAGCACTTTGAGAGGCAAAGACAGGAAGACTACTTGAGCCCAGAAGTTCTAAACTAGTCTAGGCAACATAGTGAGACTCATCTCTACAAAAAAATGTTTTTATTTAAAATTAGCCAGGCTACTCATGAGGCCGAGGTAGAAGGATCACCTGAGCCCAGGAGCCATGATTGTGGCACTGTACTTCAACCTGGGTGACAGAGTGAAACCTTGACTCAAAGAAACTAACAAAACAAAACAAACAAACAAAATTCTAATCTCTAAATTCTCAAGGAGGCAGATTTGTGAAATAGCTCCAGTCCTCCTCACTCAGCTGCTTTGCAATGTTAAATTCTTTCTTTACTGTAACAGCTGCATCAGTCTTGGTTTTTCTGGGTAACAGATAAGAATCTAGTCAGGCTGCAACAACAATAGCTACCATCTCACATTTCCCAAGTAACCAAAATGTTTCTTTCAGAGTGGTAAATATGCAGAAAGGTAAATATCCTTGTGACTAGGAGCTAAAAGTAATAATAGACAAATGAGAGAGCAGAAAAAGTCAGTGGGCTTTAGAATAATTTTCCTCTCTTTAATTTTTCTATTTTGTGTTTGATGAAGGGAAAGAGGCCACTGCTATAAAATAACATTTACACACTTTTACTTGTGATTTTGGTACATGGTGACTTGGAACAGAAAGAAGGTTTAGGAAAGGAAAGATGAATAGAATTATAATACTAATTTATTTTTTAAACTTTTATTCTGTCTTTATGAGATTTTTTGAGAAGGTAATTAAGTCACATAAAGGTTTGAGCAGTTATAAAGACTTAGAAAGAAGATTATACTACATGGAAATTGAAGCATATCCTTAGTAACAACCTCAATCTATTTCATGTTTATTGGCATACACACACACACACACACACACACACACACACACACACACACACACAGTATATATAATATATAAATATAGTTCTACTTTGCAAAAAAACTTTAAAAATGTAGGATGACTGTATGAAAAATTGAAGTCTTTAAATTAAACATTAAAACATGGTTGTTGTTGGAAACTCTGGCATATTTCACTAATAATTATACTCAGAATTCTGTCCTGCTATATTGTTTCTGGGAGCATTGAGGATGTACTTTCTATACTAGATAGATAAAATACTATCTTTTCAAGGATTTTTCCCGGTATTAAATAACAATTCAAATTCTCCTCTTCCCTTAGGTCTAACTTGTGGTTCATTTTCTTCTTCTCTTCACCTTATCTCTTATCCTCATAATATTCCTCTCCATTTGTTCTTCCCGGGTCTTACCATTTCCAAATATTCAGAAATCAGAGCAAAAAGTTATCCTGGCTTTCTGCAGAATAAACTACTGGGTATGCCATCATGCTTTGATCTACCACAGAAACAAATTATGTTTATTTTAGTAAGACTTTGCATTTATGTACTGTATAATATATGTCTTGCTTATGTTTTAAGCAGGTTTCAGTGCTTTTTTCTTCTATCACATTTGGAATCAGGATCTCAAAATATATAAAGTCAATTATGCTTCCAAGATAACTAGGGTGCATTCTTATTTGCAAAATAAGAAGCACTTCATCTCCCAAATTTTAAAGGAATGTTGCTTCTCCGACCTGTAGTGATGGATTTATTCTATTGCTATAGAAATGTACCCTGCCCTGCTCTTGAACACACTTCTTTACCCTTCTCCCACCAAGTTCATTGAAAGAGGCCCCATGGGCTCGGTCCAGAGCATCGCTGCATCCATAGCAACCAGACTCCAGCTTTCTCCGTTACCATGGTGCCGGCTCAACCCGGCCGGGTGATCGCTATGGTAACTGGGGGCGGGTCGCATGGTCCTGGCTGGTTGGGCGCATGCGCGCGGGGACTACGAGCTGCGCCGCGCCACCGCGGGCCCCTCAGCTCCCCTCGACATGGCGCTGAGGCGGCGACCGCGACTCCGGCTCTGCTCCCGGCTGCCCGACTTCTTCCTGCTGCTGCTTTTCAGGGGTTAGTTTGCGCGTTTCCGCCGTTGGAAGACTAGGGTCTGGGGGCAATAGAAGCATAGCGGGTCGAAGCGGCTGAAGCCGGTCTGGGCGGGAATAGCGGTCCGGTCTTCGGAGACTCCGGGGTCCCGGGCCGGGGAGGCGGCGTGCGCCCGCGTCCCGCGGCAGGGGATGGGATCCAGGCAGGAGAGGCCTGTGGAAGTCAGTCAGTCCTGGGTTAAAGTCTAATTGGGGGTATCGGGCCTGTCCCGGGCAGGGGTCCGTCCAGGGCAGTGGGTCCGTTCCCAGACGGTCATCTAATCCCAGTGGTAGGCTCATCCCTGGCGGTGGTCTAATCCCTGGCGAGGGACCTGTGCCAGGCAGTGGGCTGATCCCCGGTGGTGGGCTAATCCCGGGCGGTGGGCACAGCCTTCTGGACGGACTGTGGCAGCTGCAGCGTGGGCTTGGGAACTTGCTAGAAGATACTGCAGAGCGGTGCTGTGCCCAGGAGAAGTGGATCGTGAGTGAGCGGCGTTGCAAAGTGCCAGTGAGGCAAACTCCAAGGCCTGTGTGTCTGGCTTCTTGGTCACAGCCCTCTGGGGATCTGCTGTTCGCTTGACTCTTTCTGTAAACAAAGGAACTGCTGTCCTTTTGTAGAAATAAAACGCATGGATATCAACTCAGGACCTTTTTTTTCTCCGCCTGGCCGAGGAGACCACGCAGACCCTTATCCAGAAATGGCATTTAAGCCATTTCGCCAAGACACACCGATAAACGTGGGAGGTTGTTCATTTTCTTTCCCACTGTTTGGAATTCTCATTAGATCCGCATTTCCCTGGGCAGTTGGACAGAAAGGACTAAAATAGCTTCCATTTAGTGAGGATGTACTGTCCACTGGGCACTTTGAAGCCATTATCTCATTTTCTCCTTAAAACAACTTTGTGAAGTGACTTTTGTTAGCCTGTTTTCAGAGTCAAGTCGAGTCTGCTTTCTAAGGCTGCATTCCAAGTAAGTAGTGAAGAAGATTCAAAACGCATGTTTATCTAGTGCAGGACACCACACTTCCCTTGGCAGCCATTGGCAGGTAACCAGACCAGGACCTTTTTCATTTCAGTTCTTAGGTCATTTTATTGTTTGACTTAGTTGCCACTGTCATCCCATGATGTTTTCCAGAATATGTAAATTAAAATATGAAGGCACCGTTTGGGAGTGGGGGTAGACAGATTTAGGGAAACAAAGCATGCCTGTGTTTGGTGCTCATTCTGATGGGATGCTCATGATAGTGTCTGGGCCAGAGCACTGGAAACAAGACTCTGTAACAAAGGATGAGTTTCAGTATTATATATGGTGCCCATATACTTTGCCTGAAAGTGATTTCCAAAACTAAATGTGGTTGGGAGGTATAAGTGATCAAAGACTAGCCAGGGGACAAGGGTGTCAGGAATGTCCAGCACCCACTGTTTTGCTCACACTGACACTGTCCTATTCACAGTCTCAAACAACTTCCTATTGTTGAAAAGGTCTGTTCACATGAAAATTTGCAGTTTTACTGCAGAAGTATTTGGCAGTTTTGTTCAGGAATGAGCTTCCACTTGGTGGTATGCTAAATAAAACTAGAAAATGCTAAGAGTTTCACATACCCTTAACCTCTGGTTTTGTTTCCCCTGAGGGGCTAGTTTTGTGACTTTCTTGATGTCAAGGGCTGGGATTTACTTGCAGAGCATAGGCGAAAGAAGAAGAAATTTTGCAAACTAGTACTAATGACAAAGAACCAAAGTTATAGGATGTATCAGACCACTTTGCAGGTATGTAGTTATCTTTTTTTAGTTGCAGGTCTCTTTTTTCATTTTTTAGTTTATGCTTTAAGCATACCCTAAAACTTTACTCTTCCACAGGTCATGACAACTGTGTCTTGTTTTATTTTGTATAACTAGTCTTTTTAACTGCTATTACTATTTACTATTCTCATTTAAAAAATTGTGTGCTGGACTCAGTGGCTCAGCCTATAATCCCAGCACTTTGGGAGGCCAAGGCGAGTGGATTGCGTGAGCCTGCGGGTTCGAGACCAGCCTGGACAACTTGGCAAGACCTTGTCTCTACAATATATCAAAAAATTATCCGGGCGTGGTAGCACGCACCTATAGTTACGGCCACTTGAAAGGCTGAGGCAGAAGGATCTCTGGAGCTCAGCAGCTGGGGTGGCTGTGAGTGTGCCACTGCACTATAGCCTGGGCGATGGAGTGAGACTCCAACTCAAAAAAAAATTTTTTTTTGGTTTCTGATATAATAGCAAACATTTCTTAATAGTTACCTTTCACCATTATGAGAATTTAATATATACCAATTCATTTAGCCTTGATAACAACTGTAAGAAATTGTTACCATTATTTTGCCCATTTTGTGAATTAAGAAAAAGAAGTGGGGGGGTGTCCAGGTGATATTCCATGTGCCTGATGGGATTTGAAAATCCTGAGAATTTGGAAATCTTCCATTATTTGTGTTTATCAAAGTTTTGGTTACTTGTATTTTTCAACTTAACAGTGGAGTTCTTATTACAAGTCAGTTTAGCCAAATCATCATTGTTCAAATCTATGTGTTTTGTATATAAAATACTCTTTTGTTGAATTCGTGACAGGTGCAGTTCAGCTTTACAAATGTTATGCCACATGTCTTTTTTGAATGATATAGTAATTACTGTTAGATTTCCAAATCTTTGATGTCCTAGAGAGAAGTTCTTCATTTATAGTGAAAACAGTAACAGTTTGCATTCTTGGGATAAGATGGTTTGTGTACTGAAGCATATCAAAATCTGGAAATCAAAATTTCCAGGAAATTTTGAAAAAAAGTTAATTCTTCCATTTGTATTTGTTTGGACTCCTGAAACATTTTTTAGAATGGCATATATTCTTTCATGTTGGTATAATTCTTCTTAATTATCTGACAGATATAATCATTGTCAGACTTGTGTGTATATTTTAAGAAAAACAGAGAACACTTGCCTTGAAAGCATGTAGTACTTCATATCAGCTGCTCATTCCCAAATGACTTGTTGATGGGCATTTGTTCTTGAGTACTTCAGTCTAGAGAGACTGAATGGATAGCTATTAGAGATATTTAATCATAAGTAATTGCGGTATTTCATCCAGACAGAATTATCATCCACACAACTCCTAAGCTCTTTGGAACTTACTTTTAAGGCAGCCCCATGAGCAGGTTTAAATCAATCCTTTTGAAAGAAACCAGACTTTTATCAAGCATTCTTTCTGAGATGGCCACATAATGTAACAGAAGCAGCTATGGATTTAGTACATTCAACTAGCAGCTGTTAGAGATGTGGTATTAGCAAATTCCTTCTTCATAAATTCTCTGAATTTTTTAAAGCACAAGTGTGGTAAAAGAAAAGAAAATATGTGTGAATGAAGTTAGGATGTATGGGGCCCTCGTGGAGTTGAATTCTCTTTTAACATATGTTTATAATCAAGTGGTGTGAATGTGATGCTGTTAGGGTTGAATACAAATTTCAAATCTTTGTAGGTACTCTCAGAATTCCAGCAGTATATGCAAATAGCTTCACTGGGGTATAAAGAGATCCTGAAAGAGAGTTTTGGTAAGCACATTCTTTTACACCCAGTTTAGCAAGGACAGTATCCACTATGGTACTCTGTATGGAGAGCTAAAGCCTTAATTTACTCTCTGCTGCTTATCATGGCAGACAGGTTTTCTGAGAGTTAGCCCCTGTTTCAAGGAAAGCTATAATATTTTGTGTTGGTGTGTTTTCTTTGTTTTTAAATAGCATCTGTTATGTGTTATATATTGCATTTCCCAGTCAATAGGTACAGCAAGGGTTTCAGTGCTGCTTGTGTAGAAACTTCAAATTATTTAATAAAATTAGAACTATATAGGCATTTTTACTATGTCTTCTTTCATTTGTAGAGTATCTCAAGACTTCTATGATTCAGCCTTCTTCCTGCAAATTATTGCCAAAATCAAGCACTACCATATTCATGCTGTCTGACAACCTTTGCTCACAATGATCCTTCCTATCTCTAAATAAACATGAATCTTAGCTTGTAGTTCAGTTCAGTAGAACAGACATTTATTGAGTATCTAGGATATGCTAGGCATTGTTCTCCATGCTAGGGGTGCTAAATGAATAAAGCATTCCCATCCCTGAAAGAACCAGGGTAACCGCGTGCTAAATTATGCTGGGCTTTAGTTGTTGAGTGTGAGTGCGTTGTATTTTCTCAATGATATAAAAGATGTGTTGGGAACAGAGATTGAATTTAATTTCTTTTGTATCTTTCCCTGAGGAGACTCTAATATATATTCTCTATGTCTCTCTTTGTCTCTTGAAAGTCTGTTAAATTTTCTTAAACACTCCCTTTGTGTCTAGGCTTTTTTATTTTTATTTTTGGTATCTTCGTCTTAATGGCCCTAGGAACTTTTGGAAAGTACCAGTTTTTACTATAGTAGTTACTGTGGAAGATAGAGAATGGTATTTCTTGGCTTCGTTTAATCTCAAGATTTTATTTCTACCATCTACTCTGTGAAGTTACAAGATTAAGGAGAAAAAGATAGAGAAATGCCTGTGACAAAATTTATGTGATACAGCTGTCGCTATACTAGTATGTACTGTATGATTACAATTACACAAAATATCTTATAGTTAGAGAAGAAAATGAACCAGGATGTTGATAGGTGCTATTTCTGAGTAGTAGGTCTTAAGGCTGATTATTTTTTACATTTTTGTTTTCCTGGCTGATTCTTTTATTGTCTCGTCTGTGTTCCAGGTGTTCTTTAATGAGGATTTTTTTTGTGTGTAATGAAAAAATTGCATTTTGTTTTGGCTTCCAGTAGATATAATAGTGGAATTTTAAATTTGGCACTAGTAATGGGAAAACTTAATTTGTTTAGTTGAATATGATGACATGTGAATTGTGCCTTTTTCTAGCTACTTAATTAATATCAGCCACATTGGATGGAGGAGGGGCTGACTTGAAGCTCAGTTTTTTGACCATGTATTAT